CAGCCGGCCGTTTTGCTAAAATCCTTTTCCGGCTAAATCGTTTCAGACACATTTCGGAAAACGTATCAAGATATTTTTCTTGCAATATCGTTTATCAGGCTTCGCTTGTTCTTTTCAGCTAAGGAAAATCAGTTAAAATCAGATCTGTTGCTGTGTGATCAGACAGAGATATATCGTAAAACAGGTGAAAAATAAGTGGCGCTTTAACATCGTCAGTTCGAAAGTTTCATTCGAATTAAATGAATTGGTCATTTCGAAAAACAAGCGGCAACGACAGGTGAATCGGCTTCTAATTCGCAAAAGAAGACTAATAAATGTTAACAAATTAATTTCCGGTAAAATAACTTTTCCCCCCGCGGCAAATAAATTCGTTTTTTTCCTCAAAAGAGCTTTTCTAGAATCAAGATTTTAATTTTAGAATGATCCTCAACCGGATATGAATCTAAGTGCCAAAAATCCTTTGAAATATTGCGAATGATGTGTTTATTTCAAACAGTAAAATGTGCCTTCTTTCGGAAGACTTCAAAACGATGGCCTCACAGTTTAAAACCCCGCCTTTGTTTAAGTTCGAAAAGAATCAAATTTGCATTTTCGAGGGCATTTTAAACTATAAAAAAACGTTTAATTTAGTAATTTGAGAGAATTAATTGTATCCTTTTGTTTAGATCTTTTAAAAAAGGACCCGGGGAAGCTTCCTGCTAAAATTGAGCAAATCCGCCCTCAGCGGAAAAATGGTTAAAGGTGTTTTAAACTTCCTTAAAAGAAAGCCTCCGGGCTTTTAAGATGTTTCTCCACATTTAAAAGAATCTGGTTAAGTAGATGGGAAATTACGCCAATTAGCTTTCATTATTTTTTATACAAATTTTTTGCGGAAATGTCCTATTTGAATCTTCCTGCCGAAAAAGATACGGTGGATGATTCTGAACAATATCGCGTTATTGTTCCAGACACCGTTTAATTATAGCGCAAAAAGATTTTTGCTCTTTTAAAAAACTTGGAAAATCATTTAACGGAGTGACTTGAGGCTGAATAACCTTTTCGGCGTCTCGTAGTCATGGCGATTATAGTAATAAGCTATTGAGCCTTTGCTCGTGGCGTGTGCCTCGCGCGTGGTCGCGAGACATACGACAAACGCGTGCAAAATCCGCGCCTCTCGAGTGGCGTGTGACGAATGGTTTTGTTCATTTCCGGGATCTGGGACATGAGGATTTAGGGCTAGACCTGACCCTTCCAGAATCAGCTTCGGTCGATTATATATTTACTCTTTCGACTTGTCAGTTTCACACGACGAAAATATGAACCAGACACAAATGTACACTGCACACTCTACCTGTTACTTTGAGATGCAAAACGATATAAATCAGTTTTTTTTTTTGTTAGATTATCTTGTGTAATTTTCTGTTTAAATAAGTCAAAAACTTGATTGTAAGAAAAGTTATTAAACCGAGCTCGAGTTTCAAATCGAAACGTGAGCATCTAGCAGATGTAAGTTTATAAACAAAGAACAATTCTATTGTCCATTTTACTTTGTTGCTTGTTTTCATTGTAAAGTGACTTTACCACGCGTAACCGAGTACGAATGAACAACAACAGAATCGCTTTGTCGCGAAAAGATCCATTCTTTCACTGCTAATTGTCCCGCTACGTTTTGTAGCAGAAACTATTAAGGGAGTCTTGCAGTAAAAGGTACGACGAACAAAACACAAAGCAACACAAAACAAAACATACGGCAACTGTTGTTACATAACACATGTAAACGGACAAGTGTCCGCCATGTTTATGTTGAATCACTTTTCATAAGACTTTCCGAAGAAAAGAGCAAAAACATACGCGTTTGAAGATCTTAATGAATAAGAGTTTGACCTAAAAATGTGCCCCATATTTTAAAAAATAAAATTCCTCACTCCCTTCGAGGTTTATATTTGAATATTAACAGTAAAGTTCACTAGTCACTGTCAGATTTAGTGAAACTTTTCTCCTTGCTACTATCGGAGACTTGTCACTTTCGATGGGAGTTATGCATTCAGAACTTTCCCGCATAACATATTACGATTCATGACGGAAAATTGTACATGATGATTCGCTTTGCTTTGTTTTAGAGCGAAATGTTTTAACAACAGACCTTCTACGAAATCTCTCTCTGACGTAAAAGAACTATTGTGATACCATTATCGTGTATAATTTGGCGTATTAATTTTAAATGAGCACAAGCCAGGGAACCGCAAGCCACAGAAAACCACAAAATGGTTTTAAACTTTGTCGTGTATAACAATAAAGTAAGTAAGTATGAACTTTATTATTGTGTCAAATGATCTAGTGTACTTATATGGATGCTAATTGAGGACACCTGACCACTGAACATTTATACAACAATCACATAATATTTACAACTGGGAAATATAAAATCAAAGAATATGTCAAACAATAGTAACAATAAAATAAAACTTCTTACTTACTTACTCTTACTTGTTACTCCTGTCAAACTTGAAAAGAGTGCACGAGATGTTTCACAAAATCTGACGGAAAGAAATGAGGATGAGGTGGTCTCCATGACAGAGTATCTTTAATCAGCACTGACCGTCGATCAGAAGAGTGAAGGCTTATTCAGGCTAAACATTTGAAGCGTGCAATGCGCAGTGCTCCGGCGTTGGTTTTCAAACTAGAATGTTAAGAGTCAAAAAATTTCCTCCTAGTAGTTAGCAAGGAATGAGGTATTTCACCGCACTGGGTCTGAGCCCCCTTCAAGTTCGATGTTTGACTCCTTACCCACTACCTGGCCCCCCTCCGCTACCAATCTTTGCCCTGCGCGTCGATGCGCAAAGATTTTGCGGTTGAAAGTATGTCAATACCCCGCTCAGTTGTAACGGAACAAAACTGGCGAAATTTTTTGGATCGTCTAGATGATGAATACATTTAACGTCGTGAGGTCCTCGATACCTTGAAGCTATATACACAAAGGTGTTGTCGAATATTATGGGAAAGTTTGTAGTATTCTGTGTGTCCGAGACATAATCTGCTGATGATGTCATTAGAATGAAATCAGATATATCTTCACCAAACACGATAAAGAAAATTTGGGGGCAGAACTGTGTCTAAAAATAAAAAGATAAGGAAAAGGATTGACTCACAGAGGTAGTATGAGGGATGGACGCTCCTGGTGATGGGCTCCTACGGGAGAGGGGGGGCGGGGAGAGGGGAGGATGAGGTTCGTTCAGACATTTGTTGGGTCGCTAAGGAATTTTCGGGTCGCTCAGGATTGTTCCAGAATTCGACTTAGACGTTTTTCATGCACATCCTTAGACTCCATAATATTCTCATTGCTTCGATAAAGAAATACAGAGATTAAATATTATCTAATATATAAAATCAAAAGTGTTTATTCGAATCCATTCACCGCAAGGAAATAGAAATAAGTGTTTGTTCATAGTTCTCATCTACATAAAAAGGTGAAGTCTGCCTCAAGGCTGGAGGGGGGGGAAGCTTACCAGACTAGTAACTGATAACTATTAACTATTTCTCAACACGGCTTGAGCTGATTAGGGTAAGTTAACCGCTAAATTAAGTTTTTGAAGCTCGCAGTTTATAGCCCCTCGTCGGATAGACTGCGAGCAGTCTCTTTCTTTCTGTATTGTTTTGAGAAGCTAGTGAGCCATGGCGGTGATTTATTTATATTTCAATTTGGAATTTAAAACTATATTTACATATCGAGCTGAGAATTGTTCTAACACCATACGAAACCTTACGTAAACCAAACTAAAGGAAGTTCTTCAGTGCTGTTGTCGGACATCAATTATAACTAATTGATGTTGTCCTCGATGTCGCCGCCTTGGTTGCGTAAACTTCCTATTAACGCATGATTAACTTCGGCGTGAAGTTATCGCCGACTCCAGTTATTAAGTCATTAATCATTGGTCTAATACCGTGCAAATGGTAAAATCCATAACTGGTGTATGAGATAAAGAGTGGAATCCCACGATCAAAGAGTCTGCGATAATAATCGTATACAAATTACCTCGTTATGATTGCGGGGTAGAAAAGGGTTCTAATTTGAGAAAGTGAAATAAGCTTTGTTTTATTTTTCCCGGGGGGGTACTCCCAGAAAAGTTGGGTGGGGGTGTGCGGTCCACTTCCCAAAACCCTTACCCTATTTATGACCAAAATCTGCGATTTTTCCTACCCTATTTATGACCTGGCCAAAAATTCGATACCCTATTTATGAGCGTTGCGGCTGGCGCAGTTCCCTTAAACTGAAGCTATGAAGGACTTTTGTTGACGTTCTTATTGATAACGATGAAAAAGTAACTTCTTCTAAGAAATATACCCAATTAAAGACTAGAGTGCTAAAGTCATACCCTATTTATAGCCAAAATGGCCAAAATCGATACCCTATCTATGACTAAAACGGCTGAAAAACCCTACCCTTTGGGGCCGCACATACCTATATAGCCCATATAAGGGAGTACCCCCCGGGTATTTTCTACAAATGGGTGTGGCGTTCCCGGGAGATTTCACGACACCTTTTTATCGTTGTATGCCTGTCATGACATAACAGGATAAAACAGATCAAGACAACAACCTGTGAATTTGCGTGAAATTGGCAAATTCAATACAAGGGCACGAAAATAATTCTGCCCTAGGACAGTTTCCCATTTGCTTGCTAAATTATTCAGTGAAGTTTCAATTTAAGTTACAAAGGATATAGTTGATAATATGGAATACAAAAAGAAGGAAAGGTCGGTCAAATTTGCCGAGAGGAATGAAGGGAAAAAGAACGCTTGAATTGCAGGTTAGTTTTTAGCGCACAAAGCTGTGAGTTGTATGAGCATATGAGGTTTGAGAAGCGTACAACGGCAGACTGCATGACCTCGCTGTACAACAAATGTTATGCTGTCGTCGAGATTCTACAAATTAGTTTCTTCTCCAAAGTAAGATGAGCTGTTTTAAAATGAAGTTATACCTGTTCTGCTTTTTTTTTTTAATCACTTTAAACTAACCATGCACTGGAACATTCTATTTGTTTTCAGTCTGTCTCAAAGTCTGGGTGGAAATTTTAATCGGCCTGTAGTTTTAAAAACAAAAAACAAAAATAAATCGAGTCCTTGAATTCCTCTTGGCTGGACAGGAAACACAGGAATTATGTCAAATTAAAAGTTATTTTTTGCCGCGTCTTGTAGAAATCTTGAACAAGCTGCCCCCTGGAAAATTGTAGAGTACAAAAATGTAATAAGCATATGCCTACAATAAACTGATCTACTTTCAAAAGGCTGGAGCTTCCTCCAATTTGGCACAAGAACGATGGAAATCAGCTTAAATTTCGTGCGAAATTTACAAGCTCTTCTCATCTGTAATCCATTCCAGTACAAGTTCTCAAATGACATAATTAATGAGCTATGATGAGTCACAACGTTGCGGTCGGAAAGCTGCTATAAACGAGAAATAGAATGATTAAAAAGCGAATAAAGAATGGACGCCCTGCAAGTTCTCCGAGTGAAAATAGTTATTGGCTAAGCGACGCCAAATTAATTCAGTTCATCTCCAGTTTGTTTTACCATCGCCTACACGCCTCCATAAGTAAACTGTTATCTTGCTGTTAAATTAAACAAATGTTCTGACATATCCTGATTGGGTGCCATTCGCCCCAAGCCAGTGCGAAAACCTAATCCTCTTGTTCTAGTTCACAAATCGTCAAGCATCATACTCGACAGAGTAAAGATAGTTGGCAAGGAACCATTGACAATCAGACTCGAAACCTTGTGGAGTTTGTCACCGAGGTAATAGTTTATTTAACCATTTTTTTCGTCCGGCGGCATCTGCAGACTCTTGACGGTTTATTAACACTTCATTATTTCCAGCGTCTGAGGCGATTCATGTAATTGGATAACAAAGTGTGACACGTGACCTTCTGAGCTCCGTGAAAGCAAATAAAAAATTGTAGTACTTCAATTCGAGAAGACATTGTCAAACTACCATGTACAACATATGCATAACAAAAACTATGGATCAGTTTAACAACAATGGTCTTGCTTATCCGATGAACCCGTTTCCTGCGCCAGGGAGAGACAAAACTCAAGTTCAGTTCTACAATAACGTGCCAAGCAACGCCGCACATCGCATCACACCTATCCCTTGTTACCGGCCAACACAGCCTCCGGAACAAGTGCCCCTAGATTGGAATATTCCAGTCCTTCCTGAGCTCTCAGCTAGCTATTCCGCACCTCCTCAATCTTTTGTCCAAGACCTGAATTCGATGTTACCATCGTACGGTGCGAGAGTTTATCAAAACGTAGCGCGAGCTTCCCAAGGAGAGGATACACTTTGCTTCAAAAACCTCTCAGGTGGGTTTCTCTCACTCCCTCATCTTCTCATCCACTTGCTGGCTAAAGAGATTACATTATTCATGATTCTATCTTTAGCGCATTCGAGCCCGTTTCGAGGTATTCAGCTGCTACATCTCAGCATTTATTATAAAAAAATCTTGCAAACTAAGTGAATAAGACTGCCCTTTGCTCCTGTCGTGAAAATTCGAGTCATCCTGATAGTGCCAAGATAAATAACCAAGCTCATCTTCAACTTTCCAAGCAGTTAGGTTAATAATGGAACATTTTACGCTTTCAGTAGCTACTTTGTTTTTCTTGTTGAGTGTGCAAGTTAAGTTTGCTAGTCGGGCGCGTTTACTGACCAGAGGGCGCTAGAAGGCACGAGTTGTCTATTGACGTGAAAAGAAAGTTCATTCAGGAACTGCCTTGGTATTTAGTGTTGGTGTGGGTGTTCGGAGACCGGATAATCTTGAAAATACTTGAACATTGATTATCGCCGCTAACATTCAAGTCACCGCGACTTAAATCGCTACTAGGCCGCCCAAGATGCTAAGAATTGGCGGCGTAATCATGAGGAGAAAAAGTAAATATTTGTAACCACATTACTGAGGCACATCTTTGCGTCTGCCTTGCCCGGTTGTCTGTGACAAATTTTGTGAGCGTACATACTTTCAATCAGCAAAACTTGGTTCTGCGCTTGTTTCAACGTTCAACTTTCACTGTCAATACATGTTGTTGACATAACAAAGCAACAAAAAAAGGATCATAATTGGGGGTTTGTTGTAAATCCTATCAGCTTGCGACCCTTCTCGATTTCTGTCATTCAAAAGCTCAAGATTGGGTGTGACGTTTTCACAGAGAACAACGCAAATTCCACGGCACTAACACACTTTGTGCGACAAATTATTACGAGCTCGGTTCTTCAAATCACCTGGTAAGAATACTACCATTCGAGAGGCAAACCCTTGTCGTAACTTACGGCAATGTGATATCCACGAGCAGTCGGGAGTCTACTGTTGTCGTAGCGATAGAGACTGAGATCATTTACATAGCCTCCGTACCCACTTCTGTTTATGAAGGTTAGCCTGCTTCAACATGATTTATATGTTTTGGGAATTGATTTATGTTCGCTAAACGGTATGTATTTAATGTAAGGGATATAATGGCAAATATGATTAGACGAAGGGAGCTCGTTAGCGCAGTCGATAGAGTAACTAACGACCACAAATCCTTCCGTGGAATTACCAAGCATCTAAGATCTCCTTCACTAACCTATAACTATGTTCTTTTGTACGAGAAGTTACGTTGTAAATTAAACTAAATAGAAGTAATTTCCTGCCCTAGGAGAGGAGAGAGTTGTGGCTTAATTCTATTGGGAGAAAAACAGTTAGGTTTATTTGAAGAAACGAGATTCGCGGGACATACTGGTGGTGAAAAACAAAATGGAAGACGAACTTGTTTCGCATGGACCTGAAATCAGCGCGGTTTTAGTTTACCCCAGGAAGTATTTAATAATGGCAGCCCAGAACAATGTAGAGCATTTAAACGCTCTCTAGCGAAGAGAGAAGCTTTTTAATTAAATTGATTAATCTAGCAAGATAGGGATGAAGTAGGCAGACTTTTGTTCAGCTTTCGTTGGTCGCGAGTTATTTGTGCGTTGTCTGGGCTGGGAGGACAAGGTAACAGATGTGAATAGATAATCGTAAGTATGAAGCAGAGTTTCTTTAATTTAGTCGTGGTATTTTAATCCTAGGTTGATTTACGATCCGTCAGACAGTTATCCGAACGGATATGCTTTGTCAGGCAATTTCCATGGACAATTTTAGTCACCTTCCATTAGTCATTTTACATTTCAAGTCCTTAGTAAATTGTCGTCTCACTAGTGCTATATTCATGGTCTTTCACGTTCATAAGTTGTTCACTTTCATATATTCGCATCATTTGAAGTAAAACTTGTCGAAAAACCAACAATAGTAAAGTCTTTTTGTATTGATTTTTTTTTCCTTTAGAGGACAGACCGAGAGGTCGTGGTAGAGAATCGTGGAGCTCCGCGACAGTTCGCTCTCGAGCAAGGACAGCCTACACAACAAGACAACAAGTTGAACTGGAAAAGGAGTTTCTCTTCAGCAGATACATTACCAGGGCGCGCAGAATAGAGCTGGCCAAATCCTTAAGTCTCTCGGAAAAGCACATCAAGATCTGGTTTCAAAACCGAAGAATGAAAATGAAGAAGAACGAAACAACATTTGAAAGCAGAAAAACAAGCCCCAACGAAATACGAAGACTGTATAGTATGGCGGATGAATGAGTAATGTTTTAATTACGTTGAACGTTTTTTTTTTTATCGTTTGTCTATGCTGTACATTTTGATAGTGTATACTGAAGATGTATAGTTATTTGTTGCAGTCCATACGAATGCAATCATATATAAAATATTGGTATTTATACTACCGTATAAACTTAAATTACGTTCGTTGAATTTAACTTATCTCTAAAAACGACAAGTTACGACAATTTTTCTATTTCGGACACACACATAGTTAGAGGTTAGATTTTCCTGAATGTAGAGCACATGGTTTCGACGATTCAGTGAATTCAATCTTTCGATACTCAGTGCATTTTAAATGTAAAATCCCAAGTTCGCACGAACAAGTATTTCATACGCAGCTTTGAGGGAATCAATCAACTATGCTAGCTAGCGCTGAACTTCACAGCAGGACAGGGAAATTGTTTTAAAGAGTATAGTCCTTTCCTTGCAAGTACGTCACAGGTTGTCAATACTATCACTTCGAATCAACGTTTCACGATCGATCTTTAGAAGTATTTTTTTTGTGTGTAGGTTTTTTATTTTGGCATTTGAGATCTGTTCAATACAGGAACATCGATTGAACATTCCAGTAAACTTAGCTTCAATTAATTTTTAATTTGGAAACATTTCGACAAATAAAAATTAATTTACTCGTTCAAGTCCCTCTCTACGACTAGTTTGAAATTTCCTCGCAAAAGGCAATCGTATTCACCATTCTTCTCAGTTGGGGAAAAAGGCATATACGTAGTATTATTAGTATCTATACTGAGGGCAGTGAAATTCTTACATTTTTATTACCATCGGTTGAAATACTTTGTTATGTATTGCAACATTTTCTCTTCCTTGGAGATTTGTATGTTAATAAAAACATATTTAAGTCATTCATTCAATTGAATCACACGATCTCATTTTTAACGCGACCGAAGAATTTAAACCACAATTGTTTGAAATGACCTTAGTGATATCTACTCACCTAAGGAATGATTCTTCGGTTTTCAAATTTTTCGGAAGGTATTGCGATCTGCGCTGCGACAACCAATCCTTCAATTTAGTGCTGTTTACTTCTATTACATTTATTTCTAATATCAAAGCATAAATTCTTTTTACTTATCACTAATTGCGATGTATTGACTTGGATGTCACTTCTGAGAATCTGGGGGTTATATCAACTGACAAGATAAATCGTCCAGGCTCCATTAGCGAGGAAGGGGGGATAAATCTGAGTATACCACATCCTTTTCATTTTAATTTTGGCCTAAGTATCCTGTATCCCGTCAATTCCAGCTGCAAAAAATAACGATTTCCCTACCCGATATCCCATTTTATCTGACATGAATATCCCGTATCCCATTAATTTTTCCCCAAATATCCCGTATCCCGTTAATTTTTTGACCTAAATATCCCGTATCCCGTCGATTCCAATGGCAAAAAGTAACGATTTCCCCACCTGATATCCCATTTTATCTGCATGATATAAATATTCCATGTCCCATTAATTTTCCCCAAATATCCCGTATCCCGTATCCCGTTAATTTTTTGGTCTAAATATCCTGTATCCCGTCAATTCCAGTTGCAAAAAATAACGATTTCGCCACCCGATATCCCTTTTTATCTGACTTTGATATTAGAAATAAATGTAATAGAAGTAAACAGTAAAAGTAAAAGCACTGCACATTAAGTTTGGAGGAAAGCTAAAATTCCTGAAAAAGTCTAAAGGCCTACCCTCAAGTGTACTAGAAGAAATATATTTCAAAGGGATTGTCCCAAGCATCACTTATTGCATCGCTATTTGGGGATCCTGCTCACCATCTACCTTTAAAGTATTGGAACATTTACACTTAAAAGCTGCCAAACTAATCCGTAAACTGCCCAGCGAAACTCCTGACTCTGACTTACTTGACCTTGTTAAATGGAAACCTTTAGGCTACATTTACAAGCGTAGGCTCGCTTCTATAATGTATCAGGTTTTCCACGATAGTTTACCTGATCAACTCACAGCCCTATTCGAAATACGCAACACCGACAATAATTATAACTTAAGGCGTATTAATGACTTCTCGAATGTACGGTACAATAGTAACCTTGGCAGAAATAGTGTAAGGTACAGAGGACCCATAGTTTGGAATTNGCCTCCAATGTGAAGGCTGCTACCGATGGCAACATCGTACCTGCGATACTGGGATATCCCGAGCCCAGTATCGCGCCGCTGTACAGTCTGGAGAGGAAATCGACTGGAGTTGCCAGGTGTGCAAGGAGACACCATGCTTTGAGAGTACCAGAATAGAGGAAGATAGGGCCTCTTTGATCAGTGACCCCTCAATGGTAAGTACAAGCACTTATGTTTATGTAACTTAGGTTTTTGTAGGTTACTTTTCGGTCTTAGGTCTTAGAAGACTCCCATATAAGTCTGTTACATTGTAAAGCGTAAATTCAATTTACAAACAAAAAAAATTGTCCTTAAGTACTGTTTAACTTTTAGTTTCACCCGCTTTAAGTAAAAAACACGAACTTTGACTGATTTGTCGTATCTTTTAGCCGTCTGCAAGCCTTCCTGAACCTGAGAGTTTTGAAGAGAGCGGGACGCCACTATTCTCAGATGGAAACACTTTCGGTGAGTTTTGGTTCTGTCAATACTGCCGCTCTAACCAAACTGAGGACGATAACCATTTCTTATTTCACTGTGATCGTTATAAAACTATTAGGCAACAAATAACAAGTGACATTGTACTAAAATACCCATCATTCGATTAAGGGTTATACCATCCATATATGTGGGAATAGCAATAAATTGTTGTTGTTGTAGTTTTGTTTTGGTTCTGTGAAATGTGTTAACGATTAACCCAACAGTTTTAAGTTACTTCTTATCCTAGCTTGGAAGCACTGAGGTTCTTTTACGCCGGCTTTTGCCGAAATGTATATATGCGAGTTCTTACATATTTTCTCTCTTTTAAACAGATGACACATCTTCAGAGCCGCACTCAACGAACGAAGAACCGTCGATTTTAGAACCAGTTCCCGTGGGAGAACCGCTAATAGTTACGGAGCCGGTAACTTTCCAATTGGTCCAGCAAGGAACGAAACGTGGAAAGACCAGCCTCGTCGACAGCCTTGGCTTCACCTACAACATCCATTCCAGGCGTCCCTACGCAACTTACTGGCAGTGTACGGTACGCCCAAAGGGAAATCCGTGCAAGGCCTCAGTGACGGAGCGGGACGGGACCTTCCAACCAGGGAAGAGCGCGCACAACCATGCAGTGGATATGGGAGCTGTTGCAGCGGCCAAAATAATTTCTACTGTGAAGTCAAAAGCGCTGGAGGACAAATTCAAGCCAGCTTCAGCAATAGTAAATGAGATATGTGTAGTTTTAAATATTACTCTCTTTCCATCGACATTGAAATTTTTGGCATCATGAAATTATATTTCGCCGTATAAAATTTGAGTCAATCTCAGTCGAGTTTACCTCTCTGATCGTTGCTGTATTTTGGAGAATTTCTGAGGAATACACTAAACGAACTTCCTCGCTTTCTGCTATTCAATTTACGGTAGAAAAGCCTGATTTCAAGTGAACGACTGACAGAAATTGTTTTTGTGGTAAAACTTCAAACTTCGCACGAAATTTCAAACCGCAAAAACAATTTTGGGGAACTTAACTGGTGAAATAAATGCAACTAACATACAGTAGTTCGAAAAAAATTGTTCTTACCTCTTTCTATCTGAGCTACTAACTCGTTGCCAAGATTTTTTACAAATCATTAGTGGACGGCGCCCAAGCCGATTCAATGACAAAGAGTTGCGTAAACAAACCCATTTGTAACCTGTAAAGCCAATTTACTGCAGGAAAAAAAAAATTAACATGGTATTTGCCGGCTTAGGGTCGGTCCGTATAGTGAAAACTGTGACCGAGGTCTTGAAAATGCTGCCCGAGGCCGCAGGTCGAGGGCAGCATTTCCAAGCTCGAGGTCACAGTTTTTCACTATACTGACCGACCCTAAGCCGGCAAATAAAGTTAAATAACATATTTTAGTCGGTTAAATTATTATTATTATTATTATTTCTGTCTATAGGTCCTCTTGGAAGAACTTGCTGAAGCCCCGTGTGCAGCCCTGCCCAAACCGGAAAAGTACGAGAACAAAGAAAAGACTGCCGCCCAACTACTCAAGACTTGTTCTCGGCTTAACGGACCAGCTCGTGCGAACTAGAACTTCTCTGTAAATAGGATAAATTAATTGGTTTCAGATGAATATAGGCTTCAATCAGGTTTTGTAAATAGGTTTCATAGGATTTTTGTGCTTTGTGATTGTTTCGCCAACGTCCTGCCGGTCAATTCGCCAACGTCATATATCCAATACTAACGAAAAAAAAAAGCTGCTTATTGATGTTTGGAATGCAATCCTGATCCTTGGGTTGGATTGTAAATATTTGATACTATACACTGTAATAAAATTGCTGTTGTTATTTACTTGACGTTCCATTTTATTTCTAACTCGATTATAAGGCTGGTAATTCCTTTAGCCATTTGAGGGAAGTATGGTAACACATGCGGAAGTGTGACAGTATTTTAGCTTACCTCTAGCTCTTCGCATCTGGTTTGTGGTTGAATCCTTTCCCTACAAAAGGTACATATCTTCCGTTTGCGTTCCTTGTGCCCAGATGCACTCCATTTACCAGCGCCAGAAAATTTTTCTTCGCGGTAAGTCGCAGCAAGCAGCTGTTTTATTCCAACATTTCCAAATGCCCACTCACTGTGTTGTGGACAACAGCAACCACTTTTGAAGGGCATTTCACCAGTATTTTAGCATAACGTACTTTAAGATCGAAGTAGACAAAATAACCTTTGTATTCGTAACAATTGTGACTCGAAAGACACCTTCAACGGACAAGAAAGCTTGATAAAGTCTCTGATCGCAAATCGCAAATCCAAGATGGCGTCTCACGGAGATCNGTTTTTAGTTGAATCCTTTCCCTACAAAAGGTACATATCTTCTGTTTGCGTTCCTTGTGCCCAGATGCACTCCATTTACCAGCGCCACAAAATTTTTCTTCACGGTAAGTCACAGCAAGCAGCTGTTTTACTCCAACATTTCCAAATCCCCACTCACTGTGTCGTGGACAACAGCAACTACTTTTGAAGGGCATTTCACCAGTATTTTAGCATAATGTACTTTAAGATCGAAGTAGACAAAATAACCTTCGTATTCATAACAATTGTGACTCGAAAGACACCTTTAACGGACAAGAAAGCTTGATAAAGTCTCTGATCACAAATGGCAAATCCAAGATGGCATCTCACAGAGATCGTTTGTGATGCACGTTTTCCGCTCTAACTTTTGATTGGCGCATAGAACAATGCTAATATTTGACCGTGAGGTAGACAGAAGGGACATGGGGCAAACTAAGGAGAAAAATGTTGTTTATGTTGGGTTTTTCATTGTTTTTTTGGCAATTTTTGGACATCGACCAATCGATTCGTCCATTTAATTGAAATTAATAATCAAGAATTCACACCTTTTAATTGATTTTGTGTTTGGCCTTCCTAGTTCTTACACGGACCATTACTTAATTGCCATTGAGAAATTGCCGTTCCTTGTACCAGCTAGGAAAATGATAAAGTTACAACACCCTATTATGCAATTTTCTCTCTATCATCTGTCAAGTGGTCGCTTACAAAGGAAAATTTCAAACCTGTAGCTCTAAAAGTGGTCGCGGTCGCTTACTGGAGGTGGTCGCTTACAAGAGGTTCCAAATACATGTATAGTGATTTGACTTTGAATCCTTTGGTAGCTTGGAAACCTGGTCACTGAAGAGAGATGGTCGCTTACAAGTGGTGGCAACCGAAGGTTCGACTGTACACAATTTGGGCTACAGTCATTACCCAAAAAGTCTGATTGTAATTGTTATTTGTAGCTTCTCCTTTTCAATGGACAAAATTCTTTTTGTAATAATTTATTCTCAGTTTAAATTTGTGACTTCTGCGACAGTCGCTTCGGACTTTTTCAATCTGTTGGTAGTAGTTCTAACATAGAATACGCAGCACAATGGACACATTGTTGTCCTCGACACTGAAAAGTGTCTTTCAAAAATTTTTAGTTTTCAAGCATTGTCCGATACAAAGGTAAGGTGACAGAGGGCAACCCTGCCTAACCCCTCTTGATAACTGAAAATAATTTGTGGAAAATCCNCGTTCTTATATGGATGGACAGATAATTCATTCTTCTTTTTCTTGAGGAGTGAGCTTGGGACATCTGTGCACCTCATCAAGTATATTACTCTGCGGGGCCGGGTTGTTTGAAAGCCGGTTAACGCTAACCCAGGATTAAAAGTTAAGCGAAGTATTAATTTTTCTTGTATAAAAATGTTTTTTACTGCTCACGTTTTGTGTAGTTTGAGCTTAGTCAAGCTCAAAACTGAAAGACAAACATTATAAACAGAAAACCTCACGAAAAGTTACATAGCTGAAATCAAAATTCTTAATGTTAATCCTGGGTTATCTTAATCGGCCTTTGAAAAACCGGGCCCTGGTGGCAAAGTTGGCAACGGTCCCTTGACTCGTTCGTATTTGTCATCTCTCGAAACAACAGTCGTAAAGCGAAGAGGCAAGTAAACTTCGCAGGATGAGCATGGGCTCCTGGCATGTGTCCAATTTGAGACAAAAGCACAAGAAGACTGACGCACAAAACATTAGCTAGGAGTATCGATCGCGATTAATCAATGCTGTGCCTTTTGGATGGGAGTAAACCATAGCACTGAGGCTAATTTTACCTGGAATACGAAATTTCTCAAGTAACAACTCCAAAGTTGCGAGGACATAGTTTTGCGTTCGAGAGATAGCTGCCCGCTCAATTGAGTTCCGTTGTTTTCTTGACTTCAACGTACGGTTGTTGCTCGATTTGCATTATGAGGAATTTATCTGAAACAACATTGACAGCATTGTTCACTGATCTCAGTATTAATCCAAAGGACTCATTTAGCAATTCGCTGTTGAGGGTAAGACGGAGATCTCATTTTCTTTTTCTTCGAAGCTTGTGTTCTTTTTGTTTGCCACACTGTTCGCGGTGTTTTGTGCTCGTTTCGTCTTTTCATGTTCCTTTAAGGAGACCTCGTAGCCACTTTTGGCAGAC